CGTTATGCGGGGGTCCACTGTATATTATGATGACACACACATGTAGTAATCTCCATTTACCTAAGGGAATTATTAAAGTACAGTAAGTTCTCACTGAACATTGTCGATAGGTTCTTGGATATTGCAATTTTAGGTGAAACGATGTATAACGAAACCAACTTTACCATAGGCTAAAGGTATACCTTCCAGGCTAATTGATATAAACTTCAGGGGTACAGTGCACCTTTAGCACTCACTGCAACAGGGTTACATATAGGAATAAATGTTAACACAGCAAAAACAAACTCCCATACAGCAGATGCTGTTCAAAATGGACAAAAAAAATCTGACTGGACAAAGGCTTAACTTGTATGCTTAATGGGGTTACTTATTAAAACAGCCATGAAGCAGACTAAATCCACTATATCAATTGATTATCTGGTCCAGTTTGTATGATCTGAGGTTAGTCTTGGACATATCCATTTTCATTGTTCCTGGGCAGTGGGTCCTGCCAGGGGCTACCTGCACCAGTGTGTTATAGTCTGCATGTGCACTCACACCATCATCATTTCATCTTCAGTTTTCACTTAGGTTTAATGTGTTTTCAATACATAATTTTATTAACCCTTTGACTGTTTTGGTCGTATATACACCTACCATCCGACTTACGACTGAGTTCGGTTCCGAGAAACCGGTCGTAAGTTGAACTTTACTACTGAATATCAACAAAACATTTTTGTAATGACTTTATTTTATTTTTTTATTTTGGTATTTCATGTTTTACTTTACTTTTTATGTTGTTAGTACTGTATTTTATACTGTAAGGTTTAGGATAAACACTGTGTACAACACAAATAGTTGTTTATTTCCCAGAAATTTGGCATAAAAACACGGTCGTAAGTCGAGTGGTCGTAAGTCGAGCAGGTCGTAAGTCGGATGGTAGGTGTATATGTCTTACGAGCCACCATTTTTGACGTACATATACTCATAAATTCTAGTGGCTTCAAATCAAGCAGGAGAAAGCTGGTAGGCCCACATGTGAGAGAACAGGTCTGTGTGGTCAGTGTGCACCATATAAAAAAAAATCCTGCAGCACGCAGTGCATAATGAGAAAAAAAAAATCCAACCGTTTTTTTAATTAAAATGCCGACTATGTGGTTTATTTTCTTGTAATATTTATGGTTGTATTCTCACTTTCTTGGTCTCATTTGATAGAATGGAAAACATATTATAGAAATAGAGGTGATTTTGATTGGTTTTACTACGAAAAGAACCTTGAAATGGAGCTCAAAGTAGGGAAAATGTTTGATTTTTGCCGATGTTCAAAAGTAAACAAATGATGTCATTTTCCAATAACTGTTCAAGTAACCATTCTAATATGCAGTCATGAATGGGTTGACATTTTTTATACAATTACAATATTGCAGTAGTCTGCATAACAGTAAATCTTCTATATTTTGTTTGAATAAAAATTAAAAATAGAAAACAAGAGTAATATCAGAGGGGCCTGGAGACATGACTGATGAACAAAGAAAATGTTATTTTAGAGCCAGGAATGTCTGTATTGTTCATTCTGGACCCTATTTTGAAATTGTCATATTTTTTAATTTTCGTGAAACTGGCCAAATTGCAAATTTCTGACCAAGTTATTGGGTAGTTGAAATTGGTAAATGGGAAGTTTCTTGTACTCAATCAATAAAAAAAATGGAGTTCTAAAGAAATAGCTATGAGTTTGGTCAACTGGAACAATGGAATTAGCCAAAAATAGGGCTCAAATTGGGTGAAATCGCCGATTCATAAATATCGCCGAGGTCGCTAACTTCACGAGAGCATAATTTCGTCAGTTTTCCATAAAATTTTGCTCTTTTGGTGTCATTACACTCAGGAAAAGATTCTCTATCATTTCATGAGAATTTTTTTTTTTTTTAAAGTTTGCGACACCAGGAGACACCTCAGGATTTGGGGTTGTGACAGTCAAGGGGTTAAACTACCATGTACAGTGTTATTAACAATGACCTCTACAACAAGTGGTGGTACCAAAAAGAACTGCATAACCTTAACTGTTAAACAAAAACTTGAATTAACCCTTTCAGGGTCCCCAGGCCCTCTCCAAGACTTGTTCTCAGGATCACCCAAATTTCAAAAAAAAAAAAAAAACATTTTTTCTTATGAAATGATAGAGAATCTTTTCCCGATCATAATGACACCAAAAGTAAGAAATTTGATGGAAAACTCATGGAATTATGCTCTCACGAATTTAGCGGTCTTGACGATGTTTATGCATCGGCGATTTTGCCCACTTTGAGCCCTATTTTCGGCCAATTCCAGTGTACTAGTCGACAAAAATCATAACTATTTTGTTAGAACTCCATTTTTTCTATTGAATGAGTACAAGAAACCACCCATTTACCAATTTCAACTATCCAATACAGTGGTCAGAATTTAGCAATTTTGCCAATTTCACACAAATTTCAAAAGAAGCCAATTTCTGAATAGGGTCCAGAATAAACAAGAAAGACATTCCTGGCACTAAAATAACATTTCCTCTGCTCATTAGTCATGTCCCCACGCCCCTCTTACATTCTTTTGCTTTCCACTTTCAATTTTTATTCTCACAAAAAATAGAAGATTTACTGTTATGCAGACTACTGCATTAGTGTAGAAATGGTATAAATAATATTGGTGCATGTGTGAAAGAATATCAGACTCGCCAGTTGCCGTGTATTGGACGCTTAGCATGATTTGTTTACTTTTGAACTTTGGTAAAAATCGAACATTTCTGCTAATTTGAGCTCAATTTCAAGGTACTTTTCTTTGTAAAACCAGTCAAAATCATCTCAATTTCTGTAGTATGTATTCCATCCTATAAATTGTGACCAGGAAAACTAGAATACAACAATAAATACCATACGAAAATACAGTGCAAAATCACTGTTTTAATCCAAAAACACGGTCAAAGTTTTTTTTTTCTCATGACGCACTGTGTGCTGCAGAGATTTTTTATACTGGGCACACTGATCACATAGACCCATTCTTTCATATGTAGGCCTACCAGCTTTCTCTCACTAGATTTGAGGGCGCTAGAATTTAGGCGTACTAGTGTGTCAAAAACCCTAATGCATAAGCTGTACTAGTACGTCCAAAACCCTGAAAGGGTTAATAAGGAAGATGGAGGCTGTCATTTCAGTGGCCCAGGTGTGTGAGGAGTATGGCATAGCCACAGTGCAACATTTGTTGAAGCAAGCTAAAGCTTATATAATATGCTATGAAGTACAATGTAGTTATTCCTAGGAAGTGTGTGAAAATGGCCAAAGTTAAGTTACAAGGATTGAAGCAGCATTGCTCAAGAGTTCTCTGCTGGTGTTACTGCTCATTCTGATGAGCATCAGCATGCCCAATAAATTAAGAGGGTTTCATTCTTTAAACATGTTCCTCATTCTAGGTCTCCCAAACCATCTATCAGCAGGTCTGAGCCCTCTATGTCTCTTCAGCTATCTACATCTGCTAAAACATCTACACTTCCCTATCATCTACCTGTCTGTCGCCCAGACCATCTCTCATGTTACTGCTGGAGCTTTACAGCTCCACTGACTTAAAATAAGCTATTCTGGGTCACCACTAGACCACATGGGAATACTGTACTGTAATGTACATCTTTAAACTCACCTATCCACTAGAATTTTTTTTTTTATTATCACACTGGCCGATTCCCACCAAGGCAGGGTGGCCCGAAAAAGAAACGGTAAAGCAAAATTACTGTATGGTACTCTGTTTTGTACTGTGCTGTACTTTTAACCCATTTTCTTTTCAGATTAATTTATAGGTAATACTGTATTGTACTCTAGTTTATTATTAGTATGTCTGGTAGTCCAACAATAGAGCAGACTAAGTATATTTTATTAAGCATCTGTCCAAGTCTGGTAGTCGATCAATTAAGAGGACTACATCTGCTTACTTAAAATGTTCAATAAAGGGCATGCCCTTTCCCTATCACTCCATTTTATCATACCTTTATTGTACTGTATTACAGTGCAGAAATTACTTTTACTCATTAATGAAGTTGAAGAAAGAATAATTAATTTTAACCCTTTCACTGTCAGTGCCGTAGTACTACGGCTTGCAAGCCAGTGTTGGTGCCGTAGTATTACGCCAAAATTCTAGCGGCTTCAAATCTAGTGGGAGAAAGATGGTAGAACTACAAGTAAGAGAATGGGTCTGTGTGGTCAGTGTGCGCAGTATAAAAAGAATCCTGCAGCACACAGTACATAATGGGGGAAAAAAAAACTCCATGTTTTTGGTTTAAAATGCTGACTTTGAGGTGTATTTTTGTATGGTATTTATGGTTGTATTCTCATTTTCTTGGTCTAATACACAGTCTAATACACAGTCACGAATGAGTTGACATTATTTATACAATTACAATAATGCTGTAGTCTACATAACGGTATATCTTCTATTTTTTGTGTGAATGAAAATTCAAAATGGAAAGCAAGAGTAATATAAGAGGGCCTGGAGATGTGACTAATGAACAGAGAAAATGTTATTTTAGTGCCACGAATGTCTGCACTGTTTATTCTGGACCCTATTTTGAAATTGGCATCTTTTGAAATTTGTGTGAAATTGGCCAAATTGCCAATTTCTGACCACTTTATTAGGTAGATTAAATCAGTAAATGGGCAGTTTCTTGTACTCAATCAATAGAACAAATTGAGTTCTAGCCAAATACCCATGAGTTTGGTCAACCAAATAGCTATGAGTTTGGTCAACTGGAACAATGGAATTGGCCGAAAATAGGGCTCAATGTGGGAAAAATTGCTGATGCATATATATCGCCGAGACCGCTAACTTCACGAGAGTGTAATTCCATAAGTTTTCCATCAAATTTCGTACTTTTGGTGTCATTACCATCGAGAAAAGATTCTCTATCATTTCATAAGAAAAAATATTTTTTTTTTTAAATTCTTTGACACTGAGAGCAAGTTTGTGAGCAGGGTTCTCGACAGTGAAAGGATTAAAATAACCCACCTGTCCATTTAGTCTAATATCATGAAGTCTAAGCCATTCTTCCTCCATAGAATCAACAGACATGTGTGTGTCTTCATCTGGGGCCACAGCAACTGAGGTGATAGTCTAACAGCATCTCCTGCAGCAGCCAGACCCACACATGGATACAACCCTCCGGGTGGCACTCGTACAATAACTGAACCAACCTATAACAAAGATTACCAGTTAATATGCAACATGTTGTCCAACTGTTTATACAGAAAACTAATAGTGTTCTAGAATTGCAGTCATGTCCATTTCACATTATGCACTTTGATATTCCCTACTAAACGTATCATCTAAAATCCCTATACTGGACACAGGAGTAAACATGATGTTCACAGTTTGAGTATACAGAACAGGCATGCCTCATTAATATGATGCATTTCATTTACATTCAAATAAAAATAAAATTTTTTATTTCCTTGCAAGATTGCATTGCAATTATGTAATTACAATAATGGGTTGCAGTGCAAAGAGAGCCACTATCATGCCTTGGCATTATGGTTAGACTAAACATCTGCACATCTGCTTTTATTTATAGTAGACAGTAAGTTTACTCAAATTGCAATCTGGGGAAATTACATTGGGACAAGTTTAAAGTATTTTGTAGGTTTTGTATATCAACAGTAAATATTTAAATTTCAGTAGACCATCATTTAACATGGTAGTTACGTTCCTGAAAATGGAATGTTAGGTAAAACCATGTTATGAATGGCTTTGAAAACCAACAAGTTGAAGAATTGAGATAATTATGCAACATATGGGAATCTTTATTGAAGAAACGTTTTGCCACATAGTGGCTTCATCAGTCTTACACATGGGATCCTGATACAAAGATTTCTTCAAAACTTTTCCAACCTTTGGACGAAGACCTACTTAGACTAGTGGATGGTTCCACTATGACCCCGCCTCCTCCTGCTTCGCCTCACCTGACTACAGTATACAAGCCACTGCTACAGCCCTGTGCTGTACTTTCTACAAGATTGATGGACTGAACACATCGACTCCAGGCTGAGGGACTGATTACATCTTCCTGCTTTATATAAGACTGATGAAGCCACTGTGTGGAAAAACATTTCTTCAATAAAGATTCCCATATGTTGCATAAGTGTCTCAGTTCTAAAACTGTGTTAGATGAACTGAAGAACTTTGGGAAAAAATAGGGTTACATTTCTGGGAGCCCCAAAAAATCCAAGCTTTCTTTCTTTTTTCTTTCAACAAACTGGCCATATGCCACCAAGGTAGGGTGGCCCAAAAAGAAAAACAAAAGTTTCTCTTTTTAATTTTAGTAATGTATGCAGGAGAAGGAGTTACTAGCCCCTTGCTCAAAAAAAAAAAAAAAAAAGCCAAACATCTTACAAAAATAAAAGTGAATATGGAGTTGTAGTGCACTGTTGTGATGTATTATGTTATTTTTACTGGTTAAGACTACAAATGTAACAGAAATAATAGTATTTACCTTAAATTGTGGGTGATGGTGTTTGTGGATGATTGTGAAGAGAGTGGAGAGTTATGCTGTGGTCCTACTGGGCTGAGGTGGATGGTAGAGGTTCTGGTACTGAAGTTGATGGTTGTACTGGAGTGTATAACTTTAAAGTCATTCAGTCAGTCAAGACATTCAGTCAAGTAAGTCATTCAGTCAAGTCAGTAAGTCATTCTTATGTGTACAAAGTAACACTTCATTTTAGTTATCTCTTGCGTAATATTTTGTCTCCTTCGTTAATTCTAAGACTTAAATGCTTATACCTTTTCTTGCCACTTTCAGCAACACTGGTATGCCTACTGGGTGTCATGATTGCTTGGCAGATACAAGATATAATAATTAAAAGATCAAAACACAATTCACAAACACAGCTAGCTTGTAGCAGAGAAAGACTGGACACGTATGAAATATGAATGCTGGGATCGTGGGGTGGTGTTGGGGGGTGGCAGGGGATGGTGGGAGGTCTCCCCGGCTGATCCACAACAAGGCAGCCGCTTGAGGAAAAGGGAATTTTTTTTCCTTCCCACAAACTGAATCCCGTTAAATTAATTTTATGACGTGTTACATAAAATTGTGCCGCAATTCTTCAATTGTGCTATGCCCGAATCGTGCCAAATAAACTCGTGCTAAATGACGGTCTACTGTATATTATGGGAATATAACACTGTGAGTTGTTGAAAGTAGTTTACAGTATGAGAATGCTACAATTGGATAGGTAGGTATTTATGCTGCAATGTAGTAGTACAATATTAAGTAATTTATGAACTTTGGGCATCTAGTTTTGAAGTTTTCAGATTTAGGTAACTGGGAGATTTTTTGGTAAAGTTAAATATTGAGTACTGTGTATGTATTTAGTTTAGGGTGGGTAGGTGGTTTTTGAGAAGAGTCTAAAACTGATGTTCAGACCAGGTTACTTTAGTATTTACTGGTAGCACTTGCCTTGCTCTTAAGATGGGTTTTGGGAATTTTCATTTTTTTATTTATTCTCCCTTTTGCATCAGTTTTTTTTTAGGCCTAGTGCTATTGTGCACTTAATAAACAATAGTGTAAACATGTTTTTAGGCTTTTATGTGCACTGGAAGTGAAAAAAGGCTGTGAATCACTTTCAGGCGATATTCACTTTACAGCCGTGGTCTAAAACTTAACCAGCAGTATTAGTGAGGTATACTGGTACTTTTTTTTTAAGGCGTCGGGTGTTTCTCTCTGAGGCAGGGTGACCCAAAAAGAAAGAAAAAACTTTCATCACCATTCAACACTTTCACCATCACTCATACATAATCACTGTCTTTGCAGAGGTGCTCAGATACGACAGTTTAGATGTCCTTCCAAACTGCCAATATCCCAAACCCCTCCTTTAAATTGCAGGCACTGTACTTTCCATTTCCAAGACTCAAGCCCAACTAACAAGTTTCCCTGAAGTCCTTCACAAAACATTACCCTGTTCACACTCCAACAGCTCATCAGGTCCTGAAAACCATTCATCTCCATTCACTCCTATCTAACACGCTCACATACACTTGCTGGAAGTCCAAGTCCCTCACCCACAAAATCTCCTTTACCCCCTCCCTCCAACCTTTTCGAGGACAACCCCTACCCTGCCTTCCTTCCCCTACAGATTTATAATCTCTCCAAGTCATTCTACTTTGTTCCATTCTCTCTAAATGACCAAACCACCTCAACAACCCCTCTTCAGCCCTCTTTGCTAATACTTTTAGTAAACAACCACTGGAATACAAAGAGGTCTCTTTTAGACTCCATGACAAGGCATCAATAAGTAACTTCATAACAGATCTAGGTACGACTGACTGGCCTACAGAATTTTCCGAGGCTAATGGTATTGATGATTGGATAGACATATTTCTAAACAGACTACTTAGGCTATATAACAAACATTGTCCCATAAAAATGAAATGGATTACGAATAAACAGCTAGGTTGCCCATGGCTAACCAACAGCATACTAAGATCCATTGATAAGAAACATCAGTATGAAAAACAATACAGACAGGGCTTAATAAACAGAGTTATTGTCAAACAATATGCATCATTTCTCACCAACTTAATAGGAAAGGCTAAGCAATTGTACTACTCCGGTAGATTCACCAAAACAAGAGGAGATATAAAAAAGACCTGGAAGACACTCTCTCATATTCTAGGCACCACAAACTAAAAAGAAATAGGGATACGTATTGTCCTAACTAAACCAAATGAAGCCCAACAACAACCTATTGATACAGCTAACAAAATAAATGACTTTTTTTCAACCACAGAATCAAATCTCGCCAGTAAAATCCCAGGTACCAATGCCCGAGCATGCAATTACTTAGATGGGAATTTCCCCAACCTCCTCGTATCTCGCACCAACCGAGCCCACAGAAGTCACTGCGATTATTAAAACACTTAAAAAAATCAGGAAATCTGGCTCAAGAGTCCCCATTATTGTACAAACAAGCAGCTCATGTTCTCTCACCTTCTATTTCATTACTCTTTACAAATCACTAGAAACCAGCACTTTCCCAGCACTACTCAAGATAGCCAGGGTCACACCAATACACAAAGGTGGTGACCCCACAGATGTAAACAACTACAGGCCAATTTCAAATTTACCATTGCTACCCAAAATCTTCAAGAAGCTTATACACAAGAGATTATATTCCTTTATAACAGCACAAAGCATCCTCAACCCCTGGCAATTTGGCTTCAGAAAAAACAAAAGCACAAACGACGCAATTGTAAAAATGCTAGACTTGCTTTACACTGCACTTGAAAAGAATGAATTTCCATTAGGACTCTTTATTGACCTATGGAAAGCATTTGATACAGTAGACCACAGCATCCTACTCCACAAACTTGAACATTATGGCATAAGAGGTCACGCATTTACATATTTCAAATCCTACCTAACAAACAGGCAACAATACGTCTCTATTAAGGACACACCCTCATCAATAAGACTATTGGATACTGGAGTACCACAGGGAAGTGTCCTTGGTCCCTTGCTCTTCCTCTTATACATCAATGATCTACCTACTGTTTCACAACACCTTAAGCCTTTGGTGACGATACAACATTTGTCATATCCCACCCTAATCTTGCCTCACTTAACATTATTGTTAGTGAAGAACTAGTAAAAATATCAACCTGGATGACTGCTAATAAACTTGCACTTAATACTGACAAAACCTTCTACATTCTGTTTGGGAACAGAACGGGTGCTGCCTAGCTGAAGTTAACGACTGAGAGCACTCCTACTGCTAGACATAATGAGGGCAAATTCCTGGACCTGCACCTTGACAGCAACCTGAAATTCAACACACATACAAACAACAAAAAAGTATCCAAAACAGTTGGGATTCTCGCCAAGGTAGGGACAGATGAGTGAATAGAATGGTGTGATCAAGGCTGATTATGTTACTATGTACCATAATCAGCCTTGATCACACCATTCTATTCACTCATCTGTCCCTACTTCACCTATGCTATTTGTGCATGGGGATCAACAGCAGCAGCCCACCTAAAGCCGATAATAACCCAACAGAAAGCCGCAGTGAGAATTATCACGCAATCCAATGCAAGACAGCACACACCCCTACTCTTCAAAGATCTAAACCTATTCACCATACAGAACATTCGCACCTACTATTGTGTGATCTACATTGACAGAACCATAAATTCTAATTTT